CAGAAAGACCTACTAGCATAGTTGCAACTATGATGGGACCCCCCACTCCACACAATATTCAATATTCTTTTTCAGTGTGATGTGAAATATCCTCTTCCAAGGGTGTTTTCCTGTCAAAGTGGACAGGACAGAGATCCTTTCCAACTGCTAAATGTGTTTAACTTTCAACTCCTGGAGTGAATATTTATTTCCATCAACTCTGAACAGTCTTGCTGCACAGTTCCATCTTTATTAAATTCCTCCAGGCACATTCCAGCAATGATGTTTCCCTTTGCCTAGCAATGTTTTGTGGAGGTAAAATAGCCTCAGATGAAATAAATTAAGGTGTATGTGTGTGCATTACTCTGCAAAAGCCAAATCTAGGTAATCACTAGTCTGTTATACTGCAACTATCGATTTCAGAAATATACAGGCCAACTTCACCACCCAAATTTCTAGGCAAGCAAGAGAACATCTTATAACAGTCCTTACAACAGACAGGTGAGGAATAATATTACTTACTTCAAAGAAATAATAAGATGTAAGGCTCTAGAGTAATATATAATACTTTAGATATAAAGCAGTTATTTTACAATCCATAGAAATCTTTAAAAATATTTTCATTTCTAGTAACTCAGAATACCTCTTCAAAACTATGTATTTTAACCCAAATTACTCTGTTTCTTAGAACTTCAAAATGCAGTGGGATTAGCTGTAATAATATAATTTACAGTAGATGTTGCCCTTCCTTCTTCCAAAAGAAGTTACACACCTGCCCAGTTTCTTCATGCTGCTGATAAATAGCACTCGATAACATGACCTCATCTTTCAAGCTCAAAAAACCTGGATAGTCATCTCTCCACAAACAATCCCTACTCAGACTGCTTTGTTGTTATGTTGCACTGCCAGTGGCATTTCAAAACAACGTATACAAAGTCACATTTCATGGAGTTACTACAGTCACCTCTGTGCTTGCAAGCCTGTATTAATGACTGCTAACTAATGGTTTCAAACCTGCTTCTGCTGAGGAATAAGACTGTCAGTGCTGCAGAAGAAGTGACCTGTCAATACCTGCTCTTGACTCAGCAATGCACACCTGGTGTGGAAGCTTTATAGATCTCAAACTGCATTTTTCTCTTCACCTGTGGGCAATTATCTCACCATTGGAGAACGTGACCCAGAGAGCCAGAGCTCCCTGGACTTTCTGCAGTCTCACCAGCAGTAACAGTGAGTGTTCAGACAGGATCTACCCTCGTATCAGCACTGTGAAAGGTCAATCAGTGCCTTAAGGCTAATGTCACACGCTAATAAACTGATAGAGATGGGAGCAGAGGTACAAGAGCAAAAGTTGAAGACAGGCTTAGAATTCTGTTAATATTTCACTGCATCCATGAATGAAACCACTCCAGATGCACTAAAACCCCTCTGAAAATTAATAACCATCCTGTATGAAAGGCACAGCCATTTCTTCCATTCACAGGCTGTACAACGCTCACTATTACCTAAAAATTTTGTCTGGTAGGATTCCCATTTTGCACAGGTTACCCATCAAATGCACAGCAAGAAAAATTATCAGTCTTAATGCGCATTTATCAAAACGTTTTAAGAGTAACTCAGGCCAGAGGGCTTTAGGTCTATGGCTGCTACGATACCTTTTTTCCGCTGGCTTTTTTTTCCCCTTTCCCCCACCCTATTTCCTGTGTAACAGTGGAGAGTTCCCCAAACAGCTGAAGGAGTCTTCAGTGTGACTGTGTAGTTTTACAGAAGCTGTCTCTGATTTTCTTACACAGATTCCTAGAATTTTAAGGACAAAATCTCTCCAAACTTGGCTGAAAAACTAAAACACACAAATAAATGTAGTTTAATTAATGCTAAAGTACTTCCAAACTACCCCTAAATTTCTTCAGCAGTTAACCAATGATATCCACTTGTTTAGGACAGTTTATAAACAACATGGTTTTGAACAGATGAGAGATAGGGGAAGATACTAGTGAAAAGATTTTGTGGACTGATCATGCCACTTAGTTTCTAGCCCTCGACCACTCTTTGATCCAAACACTCTGTGGCAGCAGGAACACCTGATCTGTATTACTGCAAAGCTCTTCGTATTTCTGGAAATCACAATCGCAGGAATGTGGAGTTATTGCTAACTGATGACAGTCACCTGCTTACACAGGATAATTCTATGGCTCATCTTTCATGTCCATTTATTAAGGGTAATAGTGGGTTTTAGTCCTCTCTTATAACAAAAGGTTCCAAATAATTTATGTATAAAACTCATGCACAATACACACAGTATGAAATTTGTGATCTGGCATACATTTTAAGGTTAATTTATGAATAAACTATGAAACTTTGAGTATCTTAGCATTCATTTGGATAGACAAATCTCAACACAGAGCCAAAATTTACTGCAAACTCCCAAACAAGAGGAATATATATATTTTTCAGGTACATTTCACAAGTTGTGCCAAAGTCAATAGCTATTAGGTGAGTGCACTAGAGCTGAAGGGGATTTCTGAATACGTTTCATCTTTTTCACTAACCACAGTAGTAAATCAAAACCCAAGGATTAGACATGGCTATTATTCTCTGTAAAACCAAATTATGTGGTTACACTCAAATATCAACAGAGTTTGGAGCTGTGGGGGATGAACTGCTTTTCTCCTCAAGGTGTACCTACTATCCCAGGGTAGCTCTATGCCTCTGGTAAAATCATCAGTGAAACAGCTAAGGATATTTAAACTATCATTAAATTTGCAAAAACCACTATGGCCTACTATAAACCACGATCTTGCTCTGCTTGGGGCACAAGAACCATTTCCATATTGGTGTAGTTCTCATGCAGACTATTATCTTGGCTAGAAAAGTATTTCTACAAGCATAACTTATTTTGCTCACAGAATAAACTACAGTAACAGAAGCTGCATTCAGTAACAAAGCAGAGTAAGAAAAGGTGATACTGCCATGACAATTCAGCTATAGCCACTAACCCTCTTTTTCACAAACACAGCTTAAGACATATCTTTCGTGGTCCTCAGCTGCAGCTTTTTTTTCCTACATAAAACTAGCACTTATTTTAATTTTTAAAAGGTGTCCTTAAATCAAGTCATCTAATATGTATGTAAGTATTCTTAGAGAAATTAAAATGGCTTATTACAATTTAAAATAAAGTAGCTACAGCCACAATTTCTGTAACAACAAATTAAGCAAAGCTGATCTAAGCTGTTTAAAAATTACTGTAATTCCCAGATTTTGACCAGCATTATGAGTTCTGTCTGGAAAATGATTTAAGCAAAATCAATGCAAAGTACATGTAAACTTCTTCTTGATAAGATGATGCTTTTTGCAAATCTAAGGTTTCTTTTTACGAGATATACTCTGCTAAAAACTGTAGGACTGCAGGAAGAACAGCACTGTACACTTGGCTTTGTCCAAAGCATTACGTTATTCTTCAAATAAACAGAGATCCGAGTAAAGGAATGATGAAATACTTTCCAGACTTAACTGTCAGCACCAGAAGTGAAAAAAGGAAATCTAGACATTTATAAAAGAGCAATTAAAAAATAATCTAACTCTAATTTCATCTGGGCAAGTAGTTCAACAGTATCATATACAACCATTCCCCTATTGCTTGTCCAATTCCCATTAATTTAGTTTCTATTCTCACATATGAGAGCAACAGGTTTTAGGGGAAGGAGAAATTAGCTTTGGAACTTTCTTTTTGGGAGCCTCTTCAGACAGCTCAAGTAAAAGGGCTCAGTTACGTATTTATTAAATCTTCAAACCTCAACTCTAGTTTTAGATATAACATAAGCTGCCCCCAGGTAAAAAGCATGTGAATCAGTAGCACTGGTGTGATTCAGGCATGCCAGAGGAAAGCCAGTAATTCATTTTAACAGGCTAAATCATCTAAAGAAGAATTTGTTGGATTTATATGATGATTGAGCTACTGACCCTTCTTCACTAGTGTCCAGTTGCTGCCTGCAGTTAAAACCTAATGTAGAGAGAGGAGAGCAATTTTCTTCTCAAGTATCTGTGTGGATTTTTGTCCACAGGAATTCAGATGCAGCTCTGGTAGTCTGAAATGTGAGACTTTGTTACCTTCAAATCTCCTGTTAAACAAAATGCTGCACAAAATCCTGAGATATTTTTATGCTCTTACTATTGAAAACAAAAAAAAGTTACCAGTCATAGTTCCCAGATTTTATTGGTTAATGATCTCCAGTTAATGTAATTCCTACTGAGAACCAAAAAAGTCACAGAAAATGAACTTCCAGAAGGATTCCTTGAAGAGGACATTGGAACAGAACTGGGCTGTATTGGCAGGATAGCTTTTTCCTAAAAACAAACTACAGACCAGGAAAAAGTAAGACTGGCTCCAGCCCTTTACAGAAATTTATGTTGGCCACCTCTTCTCTCAGCACACACACATGCCAACCCTGCTTTGTGAGAGAAGATGAGCACTCGAGTTGGAGGAGCAGTACTTATTCCCCATAGCTCAAGAACCAAATACTACCATGTGAGGCATGATGCAAACAATTCAAAACCCAAAGAGCTGCAGACACACTCTGTAACTAAGCATCAACTAAGAAACAGACTGGAGAAATGTTTATTTTAGTACAGAATTTGTAAAGGCTAATGAATAAATTTAAGATGGTCCTTACAAAAATAGCTCAAGGCCTCATCATCTTTGGAGAAGATCTTTATGGCTTTCCCTCTGCACTTCTCCATATAACTGGAGTAACCACTCTCACAATTTTTCCTTTTTTATACCTTATATTTCATTGTAGAAAAAAAAAGGGCATTTTATAATATTTGTAATAACTGCAAGCTATAATTTGTAACACAGCACATCACTGGAAATACTCCAAACATAATTTCTCTATTCAATGTAATGTGAAGTGTCTTTTGGTGTTGGGTCCTTGTAAAGGTAAGTGAAGAAATTAACAGACAAAAAAACCTCATTAAAAAACCTGTCATCATCCTGCATATATAAAAGTACTGTTTATAACATCACTTCAACCATATATCCAGCGTATCTCTGGCTTCTTCTTCAGCTCTGTTACTACATCCCAGAAATATTCTGGGTAACTAAAAATAGGAATTTACACTAGAAGTTGTAGAATTGTGCAAGACAGCTACTGCTGCAGTTCTCGTAAGAAAACAAACAGAAAGGGCAGCTGTGGCTGAGAACATCTCTTAATCCCAAAGTTTTTCTGTTTACCAATGCCCACAGATTTGTTTGCTGGGAAGATCACAGTAGGCTTCCAGTTGTCTGGCAAGGCTGGCTTTAGGGACACAAAACTGGGAAGGAACTGGAAGCTACCATTAGCACAGAATGTGAAGAGGACTGATTATCAGAGCTACCTACAGTTCAAATGTGTCCAACATGCTTGTGTTTCATCACCTACAAACTTTTCTTTCTGAGCACACTGTGATTCTCTGCTTCCAAAGCCACAGAGCATTGCTGATGAACTACCAGGAATCTGTGCCATGGCATGGGGATGGCATGCAGTGCCAATACTGGGACCCTGCCCAGCCCATGCTGCTTGGCTGAAACAAAATTACAGCTTCAGACCAGGTTCTGCATCTCACTGCCCCAAGCCAGATGTACAGATGGGGGCAGAAATCAGGCAGGGTACTCAGAAAAATAGACATTCAGAAGGTGTTTGGTTTTCTTAAGCCAAATTTCAGAGTTTACGATACATTAAGTTTTAAATACATCAAAAGTGTTCAAGAACTCTTTTTTCCTGGAGGACAAGTGAGAGGCTGTCTGGCCCGAGGGGAGTTCCTAGGAGGGCTGGCAGTGGAACAAGAGTATGTGTGAGCACACTCCTTCCAATCAGATGGCTCTGCTTTAAGGGAAACTCTCAGGAATGCATCCATCTAACTGGAACAACACAGAGTTGTTCTTGAAAAACAATTTCCTGCCTTTAAAACTGTCTCAAAACATATATATACCCAGACAGTTAACCAACTTTAAGATGGTATATAACAGGAAAATTTAGCCATGAATCTGATGTATCCTTGCTTTTATGGAAGAGAATTGTTTGCTTAGTCATATATGACTGGTGAATACTGTGATGATTTCTGTTTAAAACTCATTTAAAAGACATACAATCTGAAGCTTCAAACACACTTGAAATAAAGGTTTCATTCATGGTACAAAATCAAATTCTGTCAAAGGAACTAGTTTTTGATCTTTCTTCCCTTGAAATATGCCTGGAAAAGACATAATTTAACTTTCCTGTATCTACATGGTTTTCCACCACACTTACTTCAGACTTCTCCATGGAGGACCTAAGTAAGAAGCCCTGCACAACTTGGGAAGTCAGTTGGCTCCAATTAGGGATAAAAGAAAAGAATGCTCAAAGAAAGTCTCTCTGACTAGAAATATTCCAACATTTAATTCTCCACTTTCGTAGAGCAGGATCCTGCTTGATGTCCTATCATGAACTCTGCTGTGGTGGAAGGAGGGGCCATGTGAAGGTTCCCCACTCAAAACCAAATGATTTGCTAGGTTTCCACTGGACCTGTGCTTTCCTTAAAAACTGTCTCTCTGTTTTACTATTCCACTTGGACCCGTATATTGTCTGTGGTGGGTCAGTGTCCAAGTACCAGCAAAAGAGACTTTCAAAAAACATCTATAGCCAGACATTTGGATACAAACTACGAGTAAAACGGCATTAGCAGCACTGAGCATGTTCTCTTCAAAATGCAAACGAAAATTATTTACAATATTATTTCAGATTAACAAGAAAAGGATATTTTCCTCCTAATACTAGCAATTTCTCATATAAACCCAGTTATTTACATTCATTGCCTATTATCTGTCTTATGGCTGTTTTATATACAGGGAGGTAAATTTTTTGGGTATAGGTTTTAATGTAAAACCTTAAAGATTAATTTTCTTGTCATAATTGTGTTTGCCTGTACTTTGTAGCCTTACATACTTTTAATCAGGCTGTACTTTTCATCTTTTCTGTTAAAGCATACAGCTATTTTTAAAGGGCTGATCTCAACTATTTTTTTCTGTATAAAGATGAACCACAAACACTGTGTCCCTTTAACTTCTCCTTTTTTAATCACTCTCAGAGGTATTTAGTCCCCTTTTGAACCTCTCCCCTTTGTTAAACAGGTAGTGACCAGGCTTAGAACTCCATGGGTGATAAATAATAAATAAAAACAAAAGTCATAGAATCATAGAAGTCACATATGGCAGGAAGAATTATCAAAAGTACCTGAAGTAAAAAAGTTGACTTCACAGTTTTTCGGCATTTTTCATTTGCTGGTTTATTGCAAGGACTACCCTTGCTGCTTGGAAGCTATCTATGGGTTCTGCAGAAGCTCAGAGACTCAAGTCCACAACAAAGCTTTTTACATCTCAAATACAGACTGCAGGACACACAGCACAAGAACAGGCTACTCATTTTTAGCACTGTGTATTCTCACCTAGGCTTCCAAGACCCTAGTATAGAGCAACAAACAATAGCCAAGGAAAAGCCAAACAGGACTAACACTACTAATGACCTACGCACTGGGTTTTTTCACACAGCTCATTAAAATATTAACCTATTTTACTATCTATGTTTGTTTGCTTTCATCATATATAAAGAACTATAGAATAATTTGCATCAGAAGGGACCACACTCAAAGTGGGCCCAACTTAAACATTACATCAGGCTGCTCAGGAACTGTGCAGTGAAGTTCTGAGCATCTCCAGTGCTGCAGATTCTATAACCCCTCCAGGCAGTCTGTCAGCTAGAAAAGAATAAAATTATGAGGAATCCAAACAGAGAGTCAGTTTTGCATTCTGAGACACATGTGTTTCTTTAATATTTGGATTTCCAGAAAACGACTCATGATCCCTTCACATTTCCTCTTCTGAAATAATTTTGAGTTCGGGTAGTTGTTTTTCTGGTACATCATATTCATATACCAGTTCTTTCTTTTGTAGTGTGTTTGATGCAAAGCTCTCTATTCTCAGACACTCCAGCTGGTGTTTTACTCAGAACAGTGACTGCTACAATTCTCTGGAAGTCTGATTTCACAGACTTCTGTATTTTACTTGCCACATCAGAAAGTTATTTTACCAAATTTGCTCAATTATTTATCTTTTATTTCACAACTAAGTCCTTTTCCCCTTAGCCCTCTGAACGCTAGAGAATCACAAAAATTCACTTAACTCCCTCAGACAGGAAAAGCATTATTATTTTTCCCGTTACTTCAAACTGGAAACTCTTCCCAACATCAAACCAGCTAAAAAAGTGAGCTGAAGGTTAAATTAAAACTTGGCTATCTGACACTAATACCTGACATCCACAATGGTCTGGCTGCATGCCAGGACAAGAAGCTGAAATTACGAGAGTGACAATGCCCTGTGGCTAGTGGAGAAATGGTAGGTAACTATCTTCATTCTTGATCTCTGCTAGGTCTTACAGGTTCCTGAGAGCAAAAAAGAAGGTAGGTCCAAAGTCCAACACAGCAATGACAACAGTGTTAGTTAGGTATGTCTTCCTGCCTTTAAAAGTGGTTCTAGAGTAACTGACTGAAGGGAAACTTCTGGCCCAGTCTCTCCACTCAGAGCCTTAAAATTCTCCCAAACTTCCATATGCTTTTCCCTACCCCACCCAGAGCCCACTAGCTCCTCTTTAGCATTCTCTTGCACTCATTTTAGACCCACTACTCTATTCCTCATTGCATTGCACTCATTTAGACCCACTGCTCTATTCCTCTCAGATCCATCTATTCCACTGGCTCTTCTCACCAAAATACCCACTTGAGTTCCCCAGACCTCCCACAGAAGAAACTCTATGATCCTCTGAGCTCAAAGCCTTCAAACACTGCTGCAGCTGCAGGGTTTCTAAGGCAGCAGCATTCCCCAACCTCCGTAATTGGCACAGAGTAAAAGGACTGTATACAGACAGCAGTTACCAGCAATCAATCTGGATGAGACTGCAGAGGAGAGAAATATAAAAAAGGCAATGCTTATTTTCTCTGTGCTTTGAATTCTTCCAGAGGGCACGGTTCCAAGAAATGATAGGAGGGGAATTCTAGCTTCAATAGTGTTCTTACCTGCAGATTTTCCCCAAGGACCAACATGCCATAGAGAAGTAGCCTTCTCAATGCTAACATGAAGATATCAGGAAACTTAATTTGACAGCAATGACTAAATTAGAAGGCATTAAGTTTACTTGTCCTCTCCCACACACACACCTCCAAGTCAACACAATTATGGTGGCCCAGTGCTAAGGAGATGAACTCAACCAAATTGATGGCAGTGCACAGGGACAAAGAAAAGTATTTCAAAAGCCCTGGCAGCACAATTCAATTTCCTTTGACAACAGAGATACTCCCAAATAGTTACCTAAAGATAAGTGCCAGCTCCCCATTCAATGCTATGTTATGATGCCAGAATCTTTATTAGTTTTAGTACTAAAGACAGTCATAGAAGAGCCTTAGGACAGGAGAGGCTTATCAGCTTTACTCAAATGTACCACAGAATTCTGGTCATTGGTGCAGAGTCAAAATTTCTTCAGGGCTAATCCACTGAAATCTCATAGGAACCAGAGGATGTCAGCATTTTCACCTCCATCCAGTAGTGAGGATAAAAGCAAACAGAGCAATTTGTGTAACTGATACAGCTTAGAAAGAGTCAAAATCCATCTCCCTGTTTCCACACAGAAGAGGGCTTAAAGCATTTACTGGACTCAGTTCCCTTCAATGGAGACTATAACATGAAGGTGCCTCAATTACACAGAACTGACACATAGACTTTATTTTAGCATCTTCTAGGATGAGGAGCCTAAGTACACTGGATTTTTAATAAGCTTTTGAAAGCTTATAGAGTGGCATGGTGTTTCCTTTGGCTGTGGCTAACAGTTCTGCATTACAGAGCACATGCAACTCGAATTGGGTAATGAAGTTTTTCTACTCAACTCATTTTGATGAAGAGTTGAAAACATGATTTAAAGTAAAGCTTCCCTCACTAAACCACAAAAAACTTAGCAACCACTGTTCTTTGTTTTAATGACCTCCTCTCTCCAAAACAAAGATTACATAAAGAGAAAAATATTTACTTTTTTTCTTGCTAATGTGAGCGCCTATAGAATACCTATTCAGTCAAAGTGTCCTTAAATAAAACCAAGCTAAGATACTTACGGAGTCCAAACCTTCGGAAAGGCAGCGATTTCTTCTGGTGTATATTCGTCCAACCTCTTGGGGATTGCGCGTGGCTGAGGAATCTCCTGTAGAAGGTTCTTCTGTATATCTTCTGGAATAACCTGAGGCAAGTGAGCACAGTCTTAACCACCTGATTGTTTAAAAAAACCCACCACTTCCCCCAAAGCCAGACCAAAATTTGTCAACACTACTGCATTCTTCATGCTAAGTGTTTGACCTAAATACAGAAGATAATCTCACAGTTTTGTGAAATAATAAGGAAAAAATATCAACATTTCAACTACATATAGGTATTTTTTTAAAAAAGCACCTTGATTTTTAACATTTACCTTCTTATGACATAAGTGCTACTGCTAACACTCCTCCACCTCCAAATCACACAGGAATGAAAATGTAACTGCATGACTACTCACATCTTCTGGGAACAGGTGTAACCTCTGCATCATAGTTCTTCTCTGAAGGTTTTTTGGAAGCATCCTATACACAGTCAGTTTAACAATCTGAGGAAAGATAACATGGTTAACAAAAAATCAGACAGGTCAGAAATAACATAAAAAAGGTAAGTCGTGTTTCCCTCTGTCCATTCCATTAGTCGCTGAACCTGTTTTCAGTCACCTTCCATGCTGAAGAGCTCTGGCAGCATATTCAGAAGGTGCTCTAGACTTAGTTTTTAACAAAGAAAAACTTACTCTAACAGCTATATAAGAAATTCCAGCTTAGAAAGAGCTATATTTAGCACCGTGGATGATTGCATATGATATTCAACTTTGAAAAGAATTAAAAGGCTGTGCTAACTCCACATTGTATGGCACACATACTCACACATTGCTGAAGAAAAACAAATGGGCTCTAACAAATTTCCCAAGTGTTCCTAAAACCTAGTTTAACATTGTAGCTTGCTGTGTTTGAAACTGCTGTATAATTAATGCTATGTATCTTAAGCAAAGTTGACCAATACACTGCATTATGAACATACTATATATTCCCTTGCTATTAGTTCCAGATGAACAATCTCACTTCTGAGCACCAGGACCGAGTAGAATTTGTACATCTACACTAGATGATGCTTATTGAAAAGTAAACAAAATTCAACAGGATTTTCTTTTGGACTCTAGTGTAGATGCCTATAATTTAAATACAAAACACATTGTTATAGACTTCACCCAGAAGGGGAACAGCTGTAAATGTAAACAAAGCATACAACTGTAGGAGATAAAAAGGGTTTTATTCAGGGCAGCAAAGCATTTAGGGGTAGACCTATTTCAATTTTGTAAATAGAACGTGTGCCCCAAACCATCCAGGCAGAAACTAGCTCCATATCAGAAACTACCCAGGTACATGCAGCGCTATGTCAACCTCAAGTCAATAACCACACTGAAATGCAAGGCACTAAGCACAAACAAATCTCCCAGGCATTCAGATATTTTGGAAAGTGTAATGAGCAAAGTCTCTTCTTTTTAGAAAATTAACAAAGGAATTCAATAGACATTTGAGAGACAATCCCTGAGCTCCCATCTGGAACCATGTAGCTAAGACAGATTTTCAGATGTTATGCAGCCAATACCACAGATCTGTGGACAAATACAATCAATCAAGATGAAGGAAGAAATATTTCAGGTCAGGCAGAATAATCTATAGTGTTGATATCTTCTCTAACAAAAATTAATAAGCCCTAATAAAAACCAAGGTGAAAACTAGTGCTTTTTAGGGATAAGAACTATTCATGCTTGTACAGCAAACTACAGTTAATTTAGGTCACTCTACCATGAGCTTAGACAAAGGCAAGGCAAAGATAGAAAATGAACCCTCACTGGTTTACTTCACTGAAAACTGAAAATCAAGTGAGACACCACAATAATACAAGAAAATACATAGATATTAACAGCAGCTCGTGAACAGCTGTTTTATCATTAGGAATTTTCATTTCATACACTTATTTTCCTTTCTATCCAGCAGTTTTCCTAATAGCCAATGAAAGATCAAAAAACATTAGATCTAAACCAACAAATCCAGAAACTTCACACCACACTGCCTAACTGGGGATTTTTTTCTTTATCTAAAAATTCCTTTTAACTTCAGACTGTGATGGAACCAGTGTTATTTTCTTAGACTAATAAACTGTAAATACACATGGTCCAACATATGATCTCTGACCTACAGATACACAGAGCTAGTTATTGAATGATTTTAGTCCAATGAAAAGAGAGACTTAAAAATACTTTTATGAACATTATGCTACATATTTTGCTTCGTCAAACAACCAATGTTCATGTCCAATTTTTCATCTTCCTCTGCAGCATGTGGCACAGACATCTGTTGAAACAAAGCAGCGAGGTAGAACAGCTGGTAGTGTTCTGTTTGTAGATACTTCTGCCTGGTGACTCTGATTATTTTAGCCACATTATAAACAGAACAGTTCAGTAGTAAAAATGTGTCTATTAAGAAAAAAATCACTCCGTAAAGAATGACTGATTTACATGCTCAAGTGTTAACAGTGAAGAAATACTTTCAGTGTTGTGCACAGTCACTGCAGTACTGACAACCTCAGGCCGTGACAGATCAACACAAAAGCAGGACCTGAAGAATGATAATGGATAATGAATGATCATGGATAATTATATATTCAATAATGGTTTCTGTAGATAAGTATACTAAGTGTAATAAATGTAATCCAAAGTCTGCTGTGGTACACCTGCCAATCTCCATGCTCTTCAAAGACTAATTTGCCTTCCCGTGCCCTCTCACACATGCAAGTAGTTCATAACCACAAGATCTGCAACAGAAAAATCACACTCACATGAAACACGAACCATTTTTTTTACTGCCAGGCAAACCACAGAGCCATAGAATGGTATGGGTTGGAAGGGACCCTTGAAGGTCACTTAGTCTAACTCCCTGCAATGAGCAGGGAAATCATCCACTAAACCAGGTTGGTGAAAGCCACATCCAACCTGGCCTTGAACTCTTCCAGTGATGGGGAATCCACAACTTATCTGGGACACCTGTTTCAGTGTCTCACCACCCACGTAATAAAAAAATTCTTATTTATGTCCAATTTAAACCTTTCAGTTTAAAAACATCACCCTTTGTCCTGTTACTACAGGCCTTGATTAAAAGTCTGTCCCCATCTTTCTTTTAAGCCCCCTTTATATACTGAAAAGCCACAACAAGGTATCTCCCGAGTCCTCTCTTCTTTAGGCTCCAACTGTCTCCACCTCTCCTCATAGGAGAGGTGTTCCATCCCTCTGAACACTTTTGTGGTCCTCTTCTGGGCCTACTCCAACAGGTCTTTCCTGTGCTTGGGACCCCAGAGATGGATGCAGTACCCAGCTGGGGTCTCAGGAGAGCGGAGTAGAGGAGGAGAATCACCTCTCCCGACCTGATGGCCATGCTACTTTTGATGCAGCCCAGGACTGATTTACTGCAAGGTCCTTAGTCCAACTACAGAACAGAAGGCCATACAGGGAGCCAGGACAGAGAAGGCAGTGCTGGAAAACAGCTAACTTCCTTCATTGCAACTTCTGGCTCAAAGACTCTTCTACGAGACAAACCAAATTCAAACTCAGCTCCTGGAAAGTTAAATCCAACTCCTTGCCCAAAATTCTGCCGACAGCCAGAACCTCACTCTACCTGGTGTGATGACAAGTCAAAGAAGTCAGTAAAGCACAGGTTTAACTGCAGTTGTATGGACTGCTTTGGCACCTTGAGTAAGATTGTGCAACAGAAAGGGCAGATTCAACCAGCAATACTTACAAGGTGTTAAGTAACCAAGGGCCCTCCTGTTACCTGAACATGCTTGAGTTTTACTAAAAATACACCAATCCTAAATAAAATGTATGTAATTGCAAGAGAAAGTCTGCTAGAGAACTCATGCAAAACCCAAACCCAGATTCAATGCTTCCTGAAAACATACATCAAAACATGTTGTTTCTTTCAGGAATTAACAATAACAGCAGCAACAAAAGATCTCCTTCTAATAAAATACAATTTTATTTTTTCTAAGTGATTATGCTTACTTTGAGCTATTAAAATAAGAAGAGTTTAATTTTACATGAAAATTACAAAACCCAGTGATTTCTGTAGGATTTCAGACTGGCAAAGGGGTCTACCTCCCCACAGGTCTCACTGCAGCCTTGATCTCAGTTTAAAGCTAATAAGCACAGTTTAACAGTTTATTCAGTTATTTATGCATTCCTACTGCCTCCTCCCCCAGTCCTTTAGCAACGTGTAAAATTCCACAGCCTCACAAATACTCACTCCTAAAGGCCATGACACCTTCTCCAGCAGGTAAAGACATTCATCAGGAGATGTATACAGCCATGAGAGTGTTAAAATTTGGGGATCTTTTTACTACTGGAATGCTGCTTGCCTCAATGTCTTTTGAATTACAGAATTCCTATTGGCTGTAGTCAAAATTCTCATTTTGAATACTGCAATACCTTTTATCCCAAATTGGTTAATTTATACACTCACAGCATAGACATGCTCTTAATAACACAGTTAGTATTAACAGGCTAATTAGAAGGAAAGGAATCTGAAAGCAGTTCTAGAAAAACTCTTGCCCTTGCAGTCCCTTATTGCACACTGTAACATTTTATGAGTACAAACAAATTAAAATGTATTTATTTGAAACACTGTGAGGCCTGAACTTTACAATTTTTGTGATAGGCTTTGGCTTACGTGCAAGTTTCAGACCACATCTGATGGAGAACAAGGTCTTAGAAAGATACTTTGCCAGATAAAACATACTTTAAGACATAAATCAACAGGGCAATACCATTCCTGGTACTGAGAAGCACAAAGTAATTGGCTGAATTTCCAGAAGAAAGTCTACTCTAACAGTTGAATTAAGTCCAATAATCACCAGGAAGCAACTCCTGAACATGAGAAGGACAGTGCTCCAGAGAAAACAAAGTCATTAATTGCAAGGCATACCAAAACACCCCTAGAAGAATTTCAGGAGATACACCAGTTACTCAGAGATACAGTTTGATACTACGTCTTCTACCTTCATGGTTTTCTGTTCTGTATACAATATTGTTCTTTCCATCACACCTGTTACAAAAGCATACAAAGAACTTCCCCTTTTCACCTCTGACAGTTGTACAGGTAGCACAGCAACAGTGAACATACTCATACTGCCATTAGCATCATTTGGTCGCAGACAAATTAAACTTCCACTGTTTGCCATCTGGCTTTCCACTACTGTTCAGCACTTAAAAAAACAGAAGCTTAAGGTGTTCTTTAAATTAATATATTGACTTGCCTTGCAAATTCAAATAAGGAATTGATTAAGATTTAATTTTTTTAAGAAGTATTTATTTTGTGTATTATGAAGCAAAAGACCAAGTCAGCTCTAAGACTCATTCAGAGCACCTAGAGATTTCAAGATAACATGTTCCATATATAACAATACTATATGTAACATATGTTTAGAACATTATTATAACAGTACTTCTCCTCTTCGTGCCATCCTAACTTCTGTGTGCCTACTAACAAAGACTTTGAAGTTTTGCTCTACTTAATTAAAAACATTACTCCACAGTAATACAACTATTATATCTGGTGTTTAGTAACTGACTTTCAGCATGTACATATTACTATATCAACTGTCCCTTATCAACGAAAAGAAAGTAGGTTTTCAAATACTAACAGCAAGATTTGACTGTGCTTTCTGTCAAAAGACCATTATGATGCAGATATAGTGGCAAGTCTATACATGCAAGCAGTTGCTAAGGAGCATTCAAAAGGAGAATTAGAACATTTTAAGCCCCTTCATATCAGTGCCAGCAGCTGGACAAATCAGACCCTGACACCCCCCGAGGCTCCCTCCCAGCACATCTCCACAGAGCTACCCTGCTTCACTTAATAATCCTCCCTAGCAGGTAACATCTATTCTGAACAATTACTGTCCATTATTTCTCTGTCAGAAGCAATACAGTCCCTGAATGCTGCAAAGGTCAATCCCCTCACTAAGCAGTTGGTATTAGCCAAACATAATTTCTTCTTTTTTTGGGATGAGCTTCTGCTGCAGAAAAAAAAGATTAAGCCAAGTTTTGCTTACCTTTCAAATTAGAAATAGAGTAAAAACTGATTGAAAACTTTGTCCTTACAGGATTACTACCTAGTTCTGCAGATTAGATCTGTCAACATATTTTGCAGGCATTTTAATGAAAAGCTGTAAGATTTTTTTAGAAAGTTTTTTCAAGCAATCTTTGCTCCAGAGGTTTACCTGTTTCCCTTATTTTCAAAGGACTCTCCTGGCAAAGAAAACATACCAAACCTTTCAAATTCTTCTTAGCAACCGCCAATGGAAATTAATGCTGCCCACTACTATACATCCTAAGGCATTATTGATACCATACAGAATACTAGTACAATATTAAACTGAAGAGAAGCTGTTTCAAACTACAGCAACAAGGTGTTACAGTGCACCTGAAGAACATAATTAATAGTCTTGCCTATGAGTGGCCCAAGAATTTACACTACATCTAAGTCAGAGAAAGAGAAGGTTGAAATGTGAAGAAGCTATTTTTTTCTTCAGTAAGCACTTCCTAAAGTAGCCCAGCCAACTCCAATAGACAAGAGCTATTCTCCAGAAAAGTAGACAACTGAAAATACTTGAAATTTTAAACAGACACTCCCCATCTCTTGCCTCCCAAATGAACTCGTAGGTATTAAAGGTAAAAATGTGCTAGACTATTTACTTTTGATATCTTTTTGGCAACACACTAATTTTTACCTTCCCATAAAACCAAAATTTTCTGAAGTGCTGAAAAACTTGGCACAGTGAACACACTTTAAGCTCCATATAAAACATCAACTATGCAGACTTCTTTTTGCATTCACTGCTTCATATTAATACAAAAGATACTTAGTGAAAAAAGGCAGAATTTTGCCAATCTCAGGCACAAAATTATACATCTGAGATGAGACACTTACGATAGGCACAGGTGAGGTTTCTTATTCTTTTCAACTAAGAAGAAAAGTCAAGGATTATAAATGGTTGCCACAGGAGACTTTCAAGATAAATCCACAGCAGCCTCATCTGACCTAGAAGCTGACACTGCTTCAAGTAGGAGGTTGGACTAGAGACTTCCTGAAGTTCTCTTCAACCTGAATCATCCTACAACCCTATGAAAAAAGACTCATGTACATTCAAATTCAGCACAAATCCTCCTGAAGCACTAACCACCTGCAAGGAATCTAAAGGTCCAAGGGTAATAAGACAGAAACAGTGATGTCAACCTCCATCAAGTGAGAATAGCAGATCATCATCCATTCCCATCCTGGTACCTTATGAAGGAACCAGAAATGATCAAGAATGATACTACAGTAAACTTGTCTAAATTCTGACAACTATACATAGGACTTTCAGCCCTCCATGTGAGCACAAAATACAGCATTTTGCATCAAATGACTCATTATAACCTCTCTAATTAGCTATTAGCTGTGAATCAATTTTTCCTAAAAACAATCTCTCTGTATACTGGAAACAAAACTGTAATAGAAAAATATTTATCTTGGGGATTTGTATGTTTGAATTTAGATATATGTAAGCAAAGACAGTGCTAAGCAGCACTGCAGTTCTACTATACACACAGTCACAAGGAATATTACATAAACTGAAAATAGTCCTATCCACTGCAAAATCTCTGTGTAGCACCATGCAAGTTTACAACATTCTTTTCCTTGGAAGTATCTCTCCCATTAATTCAGTGCCTTAATTTCTGTAACAGCACTATTTCCAAAACTAATGTTGACTCATCTAATGAAGCACTACCAGGATGAGCTTGCAGGAGACAGTTAGTCCAAGGGCAGAGAAAAAGTAATAGCCTCCAGGATGCAAGTAACACTTCACAGAATGAAGACTTGGATGCCACAGGAAGATAGTCTGCTTCCTACAACCTACTTAATTCCACTAGCTTCACAGGAACTGAATTTAACATGATTCAAAGAGAAAGGAAGTGAAATAAAGTGATTTATAGAAGTCTCCACAATAACTATGTGTCATTTAGATCATGACTGGAAGATCCAAGTGTTATTTAGGCAAAGCATTGTTCTCTTTACAGAACTGTTTTTTCAGGTTTTAAAAACTAATTCTAAAAATAAAACCTGTTAATACAACACCTTAATAAATTTCCATCTTTGTAATATCCTAATGTATTTCACACCAAAACAATTCAAAGTAAATAAATGTTTCTAGCCATAAAATCACTTGTAAGTCAAAGCCTGTAACAGCTACACAGAGAGTGTGTCCTGCCCAATTACCATCCACTACTACTAATTATGACAAAAATATGTCTCAGATATCTTTATGAGAGGGACATCTGCATGCTTCATCTTCAACAGAATGACAGTGTTAATTGCTGAGGACTCTCCACAGCTCTGTTAAAAAAAAACCAAAAAGGTTCTCTAGCTAAATTAGACCAAGACTTGAGCCACATCACCATTCGCTGAACCTCTGTCCAACATGCTTTAGCTTTTGGCAATGCATTTAATCCTCCTCTGTTTGCACAGAAATTAATCTACGAGTCTGGCAAGACAAGAGGTATTTCAGAATGCATGCCAGAAGATAATTTATAGAACATCCAAAGCTCAGGCTCTAACAAACAAGTTGTGTTATACTGCCTCCCAGTGCACAGCAGCTGCCTGAAGCTCAATTGAAATGGGCTGAAACACCCATTTTAGACGTGGAACTAGCAGCAATTCCCAAAGGATTTACAACTACCTTAAAGGCTGTTCACAAAAGCATTTGTTTTGAAAAATTCTAGACAGAACAGAATAGTGAACTGTAGAATTTAGTTTCACTTTGTTTAAAGAAATTGAGATAGTAAAAAAAAACCAGGCAAAAGGACATGGTGGATCCCTTGTTCACTGAGTACTCGCACAATATCTTGTATATTGCAGCCTTGATATAAACCATGGTTTCTAAATCATAGATAAAAACCCACTGACAAAACCTGAGAAATTTACAGCAGTTAAAATTTCACTAGGAAAAGGAAGAAGCACTTTTATATTTTATATATAAGGTGACCCAAACAAAAGCATTTCAAAGTCAAAATTAAACACAGACACCTATTAATCTCTGTGGGTCTCATACCATGTTCTGAAACTAATATTCTCCAAAGCTAATCACTCAAAACCTTAGTAAAAGCAATTACCTAACTGTGTAAGTCAACATGCCCAAATGTTCCTATCTGGCACACTGGTTTTTAATCAGTAACAAACACATGAGCACTGGTGTTCAGAATACATAATAGTCAAATACAGATATTTAGTAAAGAGGCTTATGCTCAATGTAATCACCATGTCCATTCTTTCACAGACCATGAACAGACAGCATTGCAGAAAAGTTTTAAAAAACCATAATCACTTAACAAAACCCACAATTGAATTTTACAGGGAGAATGAGGCAGGTGCACTTTCTAACATTTTTAAGATCAGCATTATTCTTGCTAGCTCTTAAAATAGCAGCAGTGTCATTAAGCTGAAGTATAGCTAAGCTAAGTCAAACTTCAGGCAGTTCATTTATGAGAAAGGTCACTAACTGAAACTAAAAGCAAGTAAATCAGTGGAAAATTAAGTGAAGCAAATGAGCTTGATTCGCTCCTCTGGACAGCATGAAACAATGATGAAAACACACAACCTTACAAACTAATCCTGAAAACATGCTGTTTACAATAATGCTGTATAAGCCAAGCTTCTGAGGATCGTTAGCAGAAAGTTTGTAATTTAGTTTGAGACATGAGGGTATCTGATCCCTTTTGTTTAGGGGAACTAATCAAATGAAAACAAATCATCTTCACAAATGAAAGGGAAGAAAGGGAAACACTCACAGCAGTTGGATCCTTCAAATGGAGCTGAGTTGCTGTCACTTGTTTGAAACCACCAGGATAGCTAGAAAAACAGAACATACAATCTTCATTCTCTACACTCAAGCATGACCTTAACCAGTATCTCTACATCGTGAACAACGGTGTAATGGTACTATAAGCAAGAAGTTGTTCTCATGACGCCAACAACGGTACTCCATTAGAAAATACAATCCTGTCACACAATCATAGAATCAACTGGGTTGGAAGAGATCTCAAGGATCATCGAGTCCAACCCTACTGTCATTACTAGACCATGGCACCAAGTGCCACATCCAGTCTCATCTTGAAAACCTCCAGGGATGGTGAATCCACCACCTCCCTGGGCAGCACATTCCAATGCCTGATCACTCTCTCCATAAAAAAATCTCTTCCTAATATCCAACCTAACCCTCCCCTGGCAGAGCTTGAGTCTGTGTCCTCCTGTTCTCCTGCTGGTTGCCTGGGAGAAGAGACCAACCCCCACCTGACTCCAACCTCCTTTCAGGCAGTTGTAGAGGGTGATAAGGTCTCCCCTGAGCCTCCTCTTCTCCAGGCTAAACACCCCCAGCTCCCTCAGCCTCTCCTCATGGCACTTGTGCTCCAGTCCCTTCACCAGCCTCGTTGCTCTTCTCTGGACCTGCTCCAGCACCTCAATATCCTTCCAGAACTGAGGGGTCAACTACAGCTAGTATCATTCGTACGTTCTTGTTTATTCACCTGAGTTTTAAAAAGCTTGTGCTTCACAAGCAAATGGATATGTTTTTAAAACTGTTTATTAAATACACAATTACAGCTACAGAAAACAATGTAAGTAAGATAGGCAAAACTGGGAAATATTTCCAGAAGATTGAGACTCACAACCAGTCTGTGACATAAGAAGATACAAGACAACCAGTTTGAACAGTATTTAGTATTTCCTTACTATTTTAAATGATTTGGTGTATCTACAGCAGTAACACTTTACTTTTACTGCAATGGATCCATCTTTCTGATGTCTATGTGATATGGTGAAGTTGCACTAATTCACATTTATGCATACGCTCTAAATGAATGATAGAATGATGTAAGAAATTACATGCAAGTCATGCAGTGCTGGGTATCATTTTGATTCAATTATGTTACTAGGAAGCAGCCTAAGAGAAATGAAAACAAGCCCAGCATCGTTAAGACATGTCCACTGAGCTGCACAGAATTAAGTATTAGTTTTGGCTGCAAAATTCTTCTCACTTACTCAAAACCAACTTAGGCACTTTTGCAAGTGCTTTAATTTAAAATTTTGACTAAAAATTTTTGTGTAAGAAGTCATAGGGACAGTGGATGAAAAAAACGCATGCATTGATTTCTAACAACTCTGAACAAGAATTTCTCAGCAATTCAGCACAGAAATTTCAGGACTGCAACATTAGCACTAGCAAAATTAGCTTTCTCAGTATGCTTTATTAATCTCCCAACTGGATAGATTTTGACACTTATTGATTATCATCCACTGCTGCCATTGTATAATATAAGAACACTGATCAGTGCCACAGCCTGTAGCTGCTCATTGCACTTCCATCTCTAAACAAGTTACGTCTGTCAGAATAATACATTGTACACTATTGTTTATCAGTACATCTTGTGAGCATTTAATTTCTCCTAGTTTTTCCAATTATTTTTTCCATCCTCTGATTCAACAATGTTTACTATTAGGTAAATAGGCACTGGTAGAATAAAGTAATACAAGTTGGCAAATATATATACACACATACATACATATATATATATATATACACACACACATATATCTATATAAAATGTGAAGTTTCAACAGAAATATCTTCTATAGCTCAGTAAAAAAAACAGTCCAGATCACTGGGTTCACAGATTCAGACAAAACACAAGCTGCATTACCAAACCTGTTAACTTACTTAATTGCTGACTACTTTTGTGTTAGACTATTTCCCTAACAACAAGCACCAGGGCGAGGGAAAGAAAGAGAAAGGAGGAAAAATATTTGCATCATTTTAAACATTATAACACATTCAAACAAACAAACCCCTCAAATTCAAGTAGGAATTCCCTTTTGAAACAATTTGCTAAAAAAGACTTTAACTATTTAGAAAATATGGCATTAAAATTACCACAAACTCATTTGATCATTTACTATAAAGCTTACCCAGTATGTGAAGAATATACTTTCTGTTCCCATTTGTTACCAGAGAAGGCAATATGTCTTGTATTTATTATGACAACATGATCTCCACAGTCACCTACAAGGTAGAAATTAGTTAAAGAGAATCACAAGGGGAATGAACCAAAGCAATAACTTTATGTGCACAATACATAGGTAGTAGCACATAAATACACATTTCGTAAAGCTGAAATTTAAAGATCTGAGCTTTTTTGAGTCATGCCATCCAAATCAGCACTTAAATACCAACCTTCAGGACTATTTTTATTAGCACTGTGAGGTTTGAAGGCAGGTGAGCAAGTAAGACACCATCAGACCAGACAATTAAATCACTGTAGTTACTCAGCTGAGATCTGGAAATCTCACTTACAAGCAAGTGCATTATTTCATTCAATACATTATGCTGCATATGCACCTATATTTCAAAAAATCCAGAAAAAGGTTAATTCTAAATGATCCTAAATATTCGTTTAATTTTAGATTTTCATAAAAACAGTACCTATGTTTACTGAAGGAATGAACATTTTGGATAAGACAAATAATTATATGAAATTACACTCTAGGGCTAAATATATAAAAGAAACAAAAACACTGGGGGTAGGAGAATGGGAGGGGAGAAAAGCCCCACCAAAAAATCCCCAACAGGGAAAAAACCCAAATTTCCATCCATCAAGCAGTAGTGAATGTTACAGCATATATATATGTTTAGTGTTGTATCAGCAACTTTAACATCAAAAGTTCTTTCAGTGCAAACTCTATAACCTATCACCAATATCCTGCCACAAACAGTTACTTTAATAGATCTTCTATGCTGATAAACCCATATTATCTCAAAAATATCATGCAGCCATGAGAAAAGATGTAGTGTTTAATCTCAGAAGTAATACTCTTGATCAGCTGTATAAGATATAACCACCCATTCAATCAGGTGGAAAATGATTTGTCCAAAGTTCACTCTCCTGTGCATTACCACATTAGAACACAAGTATTTGAAGAGGTTCACTTGATTCAAACATTTCTAAGTCGGTAACAAAGCAGTTGTACAAAGCAGGACATAAACTGAGCATGCATTTTTTATAGGAGCACATAATTAATTTAATCAATGAGCACATAATGCATCAATGCAAGTTTCACACCTTATTCAAGTTCTTTATCATTTTTTAATCTTGTGTTCTTTCAGTGCTCTACTTTCAACTGCAGCTGAAGTGCAAATACAATTTAAACATCTTTCCTCCTGCAGCTTTCACTGCTGACAGATCAGTTCCAAAAGCACTGTACATCTACATATATATCACTGGACATTGTGCCTTTTTGGTTGGTAATATAAATAAATTCATCTGAGGGAATTTTTGCCAAGTTTTCCACCTGCATGAACACTGAATTAACAATCTGAATACCAAATTAAAAACAAAACAACAAAAAAAATCCCCTCAAGGTTATTCTGTCTAAGGAGCTGTTATCTTACAGATGCTAAAACATTTGTTAGGTCAGAAAAAAAGAATCAAAAGAAGTGTTAAGTACATCAACCACAAATTCCTGTCTACTTTGCTCCTGTAGAGAGTATCAAATGTCTCAGCAGTAATAACCTATCAATTTCAATCTCATGTGTAATGCATTTAGTACTGATTTACAGAATACTTTAGAACAAATAAAGTTATCCTTGAAATGACTTTCCAGGACTTTGTCACTACACGGAGATAAAAGTATCAAAGACCTTTCCCACAGGATAACCAAAAACTTCTCTCAGTGTCTGCTTTAGTTTTTGACAATCTTAAGTCTCCAGTGACATCTTGTGGATACGCCAAAATTTGCAACAGAGATCTGGTATTTAAAACAGCTTTAGCACTCTACAAATCCTACCTTCTGGTATGAAATAGATTGAGTAGAATTTTAGTACGTGCACTTCACATGTATGAGCAAACTTTATGTTTCAGTAATGCCTCTTGAAAAATGTGCATGGGCATACAGGAAACACTGTCCCAGCACTATAAAGGATCAACTCTTTCTGAGATGCTTATCCCCAAGAGACAGGCACTACAGTACTGCTAGTAATGAACATCATCACAGGTACATCTTTACTGCTGAATCTCCTAATTTGCAGAAAAGCAAAATGATTGTTTTATTTAAACAAGAAGTTAACTTTCAACAATGACTGTCTCCCACTTAAGAATCAGACAGGTTCCAGGCTCATCATCACAGAATGTCTGAAGCAGGAAACGACCTCTGAAGGTCATGTCATCCAAATCCCCTGCTCAAACTGATGCCAAGAAAACCTGGAAAAGAACTACTCCCAGACTTGTATCTCTGAGCAGCAGGTATTTGTTTATTCAGCGCTGGGCACAAGGGGGATTGCTCCCCCAAACTTGTGCAACCAGGGACAAAAACTTCACAGTTTATATACATTAAGTGCTCATACGTATTCATTATTTCTAGGAATGGGTGGTTATTATTACAATTAGTTCTCAGAAATCATTATCATATTCTCTTCCCTCATCCCCTCCTATGTGGCATCGGTCCAACAGACTCTGGTGGTCATCTGGGGGTCTTCCAGAGAAAGGCTGATAGTCTTCATCAGTTTGAACTTGTGCATCATACTTGTATTTTACTAACTTAGCAAGCTCAGCACTCTTTTATGTTAATAAGCTAAAGTAATATCCTAATTAGCTATCTTTATGCTTGGTAAGATAAAACAGTATCCTGTTCAACTACTATCTTGATTTATCTCTTCTTCCTTTGCTCACTTAGCTGCCTCTTCGGGCACACTTTGTTTACTCAGCCAGCTCTTCCTTAAATTGTTTCTTTGGGGCCTACTTCTCATTATCAAAACCAGGACCAGTTTCTGAAAATCTCCAAGGATGGAGACTCCACAACCTCTTGGGCAACCACTTCCAGTCACTCTCACAGTAAAAAATATGTTTCCTGATGTTCAGTGGGAATCTCCTGTGTTTCATTTTGTGCCCACTGCCTTGTGAACACAGGACTTCTCTGCACCTTAATTACAATGAAGAAGCACTCCAAGACTAATTTATAATTTATAATTTGTGAACAATTGGAAAATGTAACCATTTATATCAGGCTTAATTTTAATAGTGAAATTGGAAAAACAATCATAGAATCACAGAATTTTAGGGGTTGGAATGGACCTTACAGATCATCCAGTCCCAAGCCCCCTGCCATGGGCAGGGACACCTCTCCACTAGACCAGGTTGCCCAAGGCTTTAGCCAACCTGGCTTTGAACACTGCCAGGGTTGGGGCAACCACTACCTCCCTGGGCAACCTGTGCCAGTGTCTCATCACCCTCACAATAAAAATCTTTTTCCTAATATCCAACATAAATTTCCCCTCCTTCAATTTGTACCCATTGCCCCTTGTCCTGTCACTGCAGATCCCAACAACACCAATAAGAAATACAAGTGAAGGAAATTTGCTTTCACCTGCTGCAATACTCACTTAGTGCATGATAAATAGGCTTATGTCTGCCCTCAAGTCTGATTACAGTCTCAGCTGCTATTTTTCCTGGAGGCTGCAACCTTGCATCGAGGAGATACCAGGCTTTGGCAAAAGTAGCCCATTGCTGAAGATAAGAGAGAGAGAAAGGTAGTTCCTAACATATTAGAAGCACACACTACCATAACCCAGATAGATCAACGCCGGTTTCACACTCAAAAACACTAGAAGAAATATAAACACCGAGACCTCCTTCAAACAACCTCTAAACGCACACGCAGAGCACAGCACACCGCGGCGCA